AGCTCACCCTGGTGCAATCTGCTGGACCTTGTCAGCAGACACTGCCCTCCTCCTGCTTCTCAAAATCACAGCAGCTCAGCCAAGCACATGAGCTCCATGGATTCATAATTCTCTTTTTCCAGGTGGAAACAGGTCAGACTCCATTTAGGTCCAAACTCAGAAAGCTTTTTGGTGGATTTTGGAATTTTTTTGGAGTGTCCTGCTAAGTTCTTCAAAAGCCCAGATCCTGGAATTCCAGCATTGGCTTTTGCAGGTGGCAGTTGGAAGGAGGGGCTGGTGGTTCATGTCAGAGCTCAGGGGTTTGGGCAGCTCCAGCCCCAGTGAGGTCTCTGGTCGAGCCAGGCTGGAGAGGTTCAGCTGGTGAGAAGGTCTACCCTCTGCTTTGGGAAGGGTTGGTGATGAAATACAGACGTGAACAAGTTGTGTACAGACCAGGGGGACGTAAATAAAATGCTGATAATTGTTATTACACAGAAGTAAGAGAAGTGTAGGCTCCTGGTTTTGTTGGGAGGTCCGTTTTGGGGCAACACACAAGAATCTCTTGGAAGGTGGTTGGGAAGAAGACAGTGTCTGCCTTCTACTTGCATTTTATCCTTATTTTTCCATCTGTTTAACGTATCCCATTCCAGCTAGACCCAACCTGCTATTCCATGGAAACACATGCTCGTGTTTTGCACGGCCGTGTCTCGATGACTCCAGTGGAGCTCCTCAGATACTTAGAATTCAGAGTGTGTTTTGGTGCATTGGTGGATTAGCGTGATTTTTAAAATTATTAGTTTAATTTACTGTTGATATTGTAAAAGGAAGGGGTTTCCTTTACATCCTCATGCATTCATTATAGGAATTTGTTTCCTTTCATTAAGGTAACATGTGAAGGAACTGGGAAGGTAATGCTTTCTGCTCTGTGATATCCATAGTATTTATCCCATTTCTTCAATTATTCAGTATCATCTGTCTCTCTTATTTACTACTAATCTGAGAGATTTTAAAAAGCAAAAAAATCCCTCAGCTGCAGGGAGAGGCGGCTGTTGAGTGACCATTTACTGCATTAGCAAATAAAAAGGTCTTTCTTTTTTTACTGGTGGCCATCAACTGGCAGTTTGGAAAGACTCTCCTCATTTTTATTCATTAGTAAAACAGCATGATCTGTAAAGAAAAGAAAATTTGGAGTTAATATTAGACTTGTGAAGAGAGATTCACAGCCTCGCGCTATTTTTCTGATGTGTTTTGCCCAGTGCCCCTCTCTGATTTTCCAGAAGTCTCCCGAGTGCCATCGTGGCGTGCTCCCATCTGGTAGAATTGATAAGCCACTGGGTTCAAAAATCTTGGTTGTGCTTGTGAGGAGCTTTCAGATAAAAAGGAGCAGGCGGGGGTTTGACAGCGGCTGCGTGGAGAGGTTCCACAGCCTGACGGGGATGGTTTCCTCTTCTGTTTTGTCTCCTCGTCCTGTCCAGCGGTTTAATCCCACACAATAACAGCAGTGATTCCTTTTGGAACAGGGATGAGGGTGATTCTGGGAAACCGGGAGTATTACAAAGAGAGGCTTTTGTCCCTCTGACAGTTGCCACATGGATTTTTCAAAGCGACCTTCAGAGCATAGAAAATTGTTGAGAAATTATCCAATTGTAGGGGCTTTTTCATGCTGTTTGCTTCTTACATACATTTGTGTGTGACTAACCCATTCATGTCACAATTTCCATATCTGTGGAGTGGTCGGATGGTGGAATGGTGCTATTTCTTACATAAAACGCTTCGTTGTCTATTTCTTTTTTTTAATTATTATTACTGAAGATTTAATTTCTAAGACCATTTGCAACAAAACGTGACTGTACCAACTTCTGGATTTATGCTTTCTGGAATCTTTCAGAGATGAAAATTTAAATACAAAAGACTTTTCAGGCTCCTCACACGATGACTTGCCCACGTTCAAGGGCTGGAGCATCTCGGGTCGTTCTGGGCTCTGTGTGTGTCCCTTCCAGTGCAGGAGAGAAGGTTTGTCAGGTCCCCTACTGGGATGGTCCCTTCTCATGGGCATCAGGGGGTGTCACCTTAATTTGGGGTTTCACTTAGCCCTTTAAAAAGGAAAAGGAATCTGTGTGGTGCAAAGAACCTTGCCCAGTAGAAACTGCAATGGTGTTTGCTTATTTATCCAGCTGATTTGTAAACCAGGCAGCTTTTTATCCCCAGAGAAGTTAAAATATCCAATAAAAAGCTGTAGGAACAGGTTCTGGGGTGGTTTAGTTTCCAGAGGAGCTGAGGTCTCTCGCTGGTGTTGGTGTCTGGGTTTTTCCGTGCGCGGGCACTTGGCGGGATTCGGAGGCTGATAAATATTCAGTGTGGCTGCAATTTTCCCCTCTGCTGAATAGTCTGGTGATTAAGAAAAACTAAGGTCATTGTGGCTCTAAGGGGTGAAGTACTAGTGAGCATAAGTAATCAGCGCTCCCTCTCCTGCCTGTAAAACCCATTGTTCAGCAGGGGCTAAGAACATATTTTAAATAATCAGTGTGTTCAGCCTCAGTTTATGCTGTCTAATATAGATCGGGGGTTTTTTTTGATAACAACAGTGGCTTTATTAGCAAGTGTAATGTCAAAAATACATAACAGAAAATAACAAAAATAACCCCTGGATGAGTGCGTAGAAGACACCATTTTGATTTCTATCTGGAATAAAATCAGCACTTAAAAGTTACCGTGGCTTCTGCACAAAGAGAGCAACCGTTTTCAGAAGCGTTGGGTTAAATATTCCACCAAACATCCAAAGCCTTATCACCAGGGACTCAAACAAGGCTGCAATGGGGATAACATGATTTTATTGTATCCCTTCCTCCAGGAGAGCAGTGCCGTTCAGGAGGGTGCTTCTAGAGAGGGCTGGGTCCAAGTCACCTCCTGAATAGATGCCAAAAATAGTACCTGGCGTTGAGGTGAAAAGATGAGATTTTGGGCCCAGGGGCTCGGCGGCCGATGCTTTATTCTGTGGAAGCCTCCACGTGCAGAGGGTTTGCACAAAGCCCTGTGCCACCCCTCGCTCCTCCTCGGGAAAGGTTCTTCATTTACATGCTGAACATTTATATGCGCAGGGATAATTTTATTCATCACCCTACTTGGCTATTTCTATTTTTTTTCTGTTGAATGGCAAATCGTAAGCGTTAGGATTCTCTCCAAAAGAGCATGTGTGTGTGAGTGCCCGTGCACGGGGGAGGAGAGGGGAATATTACCAAGAAATTTAGGAAATAAGTCATGTTTTCCTAGAAGTGACGTAGATGCTTAGGTTTGGATTCTCAAAGGCCTCCTTCCTCCTGCATCCAGTGTGAATTAGATGCTTTGCTTCGGTGTCTTTGAAGATCTGGGCCTGAGGAATCGTTTTCATTGCAAATCCCCTGCTTTGAGAACGTGCCTCCCTTGTGCTCTGGGAATGTGGGAACTTTCCCAGAGAATAAACTTCATAGCGAGGAGCAGGGATGTTCCTGGGTGGATTCAGACCATTAAGAGCATCCTTTTTCCTGGGGAAAACATGTATCTTCCACTGGGTCCTTCAGAGACGGCGAGAGCAGAGCTAAGCAGGATGGAGACTGGCTCTTGTGTGTGACACCACAGAGAACCCACCACCGTGGTTCTCAGCACCCTCCAGAGCTGGGCTGGGGACACCCACGGGCAATGTCCCTGTTGCCACCATCACCCGTGCCATTCAGAGTGTTGGGTCATCACCCCATCCCTCCGTGTCCTCCTTTGTATCTCTTGGGAATAGCCAGAGGGATTGCATTTTCTTCCTTCTCTGTATCTCCAGCAAACGATTAAATATTCTTGATGATAACTGTAATTGTGGGACTAAACAAGCTGAGATTCCTTGGCTTTAAAACTCTTGTTTCTTGTTTGATGGTGACAAACCTGGGTTGAGATTTGCAGCCCCCTGGGATTTCTTATTCTCTCCACCTGAAGCCCTGCCTGAGCCGGGTGTGAAGGGGAGATGAGGAGGTGGGTGCTGCAGGTGTGTGAGTGCTGGGGAGAGGCTGGCAGCGCCCGTACCTGTTTGGCCAAATAAAACAGGATAACAAAGGGAAAGGATTTCTTGGGTGCTGCAGGTGTGTGAGTGCTGGGGAGTCGCTGGCCAAATAAAACAGGATAATAAAGGGAAAGGATTTCCAAAAGTTTGAACTTTGCTGAGCAAAGAGCTCAGACCTACAGCGTGGCATTGCCTTTTGATGGAATAATTACAGCCCTCTCGATCACGGTATATTGTCTGTCTGAGCACGTGCATTAAGTGCAAAGCATCTGTTGATGAAAATAAGGTGGTTTGTTCCCTCCCGTGCTAGCAGGGAGCAGAAGTGGTGGTCATGCTGGTAGCCCACTGTGGCAACTGTCTGTATGAGCTGGCTAAAGCAGGGCGGTGAAAGCCGGGGATGCTTTAGGGGCAGCGCCAGCCTTGGCACTGGGGTAGGGGTTAATTTGGGGCAATTTTGGTGTCTGGAGGAGGAGCCTTGGCGGGTGGCAGTGCCGCTCAGGCTCTCAGCCACCTGATGGTGCTGCAGGTTGGTTCATCTCGGGCTAGCTCCTGTGGAGGCAGAGCTTCACAGAGCTTCCTACCTGCGTGGAGCTGCCTGGGGATGGGGGGCTCGTCGGGACCTCGGCTTTCACAGGTGTGTGTTTGGGTCATTTTAGCATCCTGCCGTTCTCCTTACTGAGTACTTTTAATTATTTCAATTGAAAGGATATGGAAGTGCTGCAAAATGGTGTTATTTCGGTGTGTTTTGGTACAGTGCTCTCAACAAGAACCCGTTTTGGGACTGAGGCGATGTGATTTGTGCCGATGGCTTCAGTCGGAACAATGAAACCTGTATCCAGCCGGGGAGAAGGGGATGCTGCAGCTTTAAAGCATCCAAGGGCTTACAGCCTTTTAGTATAAATTGTTCCCAGAATCCATGTCACAACTCCTTATATGGTGCTGCTTTTTTTCCTCTTAGTTGCCATGACAACAGCAGCACTGCACCATTCATCAGCTCTGGTCCTGGGCTGCATTGCCAGCCCTTCGGCTTACTCCGGAATGTTGGGGAGAGCATCCCTGACCCCTTCCCTCCTCCGGGGTGCTGAGCCATCCCTCACCTATTCCTCCAGCCCTTTGCTCTAACAAAAAGAGCAAATTAAACTGCGCCATAGAAAGAAACTGTAAAAAATACTTCATTCTTCCCCCGAGGGAGGCGTGGAGTCTACGTTTGCTGCAGCGTTCTGGAAGGGAAGGCTCTTTAACGCCGGGAGGCTTAACGAAGAGAGAAGGCTTGTGTGGCTGTGTGAGCTCTGCCGAAATTCAGCTCGGAGCCTGCTCCCCGGGGATGGGGAGGATGCAGAAGTGATGCAGGGAGATGGTGGTGGTGGTGCTTTTGGGAGCGGAGCTTGACATCAGCAGCAGGAAGTGTCACCTGTAACATCATCCTGACGTGGGGAGCAGCAGGATGGAGCTGGGAAGACGGGGGGGAAAGCGGAGCAGGGTCTGAGCCAAGTGCTGCTCCGAAGGCAACGGAGCCCCAGGTGACACCAGCCCGGCTGCCTCCTGCTGCAGGACCACACTCCCAGGTGATGGGGAGAGAAAACAAAGCCCCGTGAGTATTTCTTTGGACAATTTGTCTCGCACAGACTTGGATTTGAGCAGTGTTAGGTGTTCCTTGGCCTCCCGTAGGGTGGAATTAGGGATTCAGATGCTCCTAGGTGACAGGGAAGCCATTTAGAGGTTTTTTTTCATGTTGATAAGGATTATGCTGCTCGGGTTGTTTTTCTTTTAGTTGTGGCAATACTTTTACATAATCTGAGTTTGTCTCCGGCTCGGTAGGATGGGAAGAATTTCACATACAAAAATGAACGTGCAATGAAAATATTCCACTCTTCAGCCCTGCTAAAATAGAGCTACTGAGGAGTGAGTTGAGAAATACTACAGATACCAAGAGTGTTTTGTTTTTAAAATTTCCGATCAATGGGATTGAGCTAAGGTTTTCCTTTTGCATCACCAAATGACCACAAATTAGATTGGAGTGGATTATAGGAGCCCTGTGTGCTGGGGGAGAGATACCTGCTTCTCACTAAAAGAGTGAGATTTTTTTTTAATTCAATGCTGCTGGAAGAAATACAAATATATAACCAGTCGTTTTCAAGGTAGAATTTGAGGAGAAGCTGTTCAAGTGCTGAGTGCTCCTATTGCATCTGATTTTTGAGGGGGGATTGTGCTTAAAATTGTTGGTGTCGGGACAGACTTTCATCCTTTTTAGGTATTTTTATATCATTCTGTTCACAATACACTTACAGTGCTTTTCCTGGCTTTCTGTAACTGTCACCCTGTCAGGATGACATTGATCTGGAATTCATGGCTTTGGTGTGGGAGGGGAGGTTGGGTTTGTGGCCCACTCTTGCATTTCTGATCGGCACAGGGATGACGAGCACCGACTTGGCTGTAAAGTGCCCTTAGATTTGGGGGGGGGATGGTGTGTGTTCAAGATGCATAATGTTTTTTTTCTGGGCATAACTCATTTTCCATTTAATTTTCCCTGATGCGTTGCCATCCCTGCCTATCTGGAGGTTTAGCACAAGTAGAAAACTTGCATTTTGTCAGAATTATTGAGTCGTCCCTTTTAAAAAAATGACGTAAAACACACCCCCTTACCCCCCCACCCCCTCATTTCAGCGTGGTTTTGGCACCTGCATCTTCACCTTGTACCCTGGTGGGCAAACCCCAGTGTCTCCAGCAACAGAACCTGCTGGAGAAAGAGGATCCTCCTTCATTTACGAAAATGTATGCAGAATATTGGGGTTTTTTCACGTTTTTTTGATTCTTCCTCTTCATTTTTGGGATGCTTCACCCATTATTTTTGGAGCTGTGAGTTGTTTTGACAGCCTTGTACTTAAATGGAAACCAACTGGGCTTGCAGAAATAAAACAGGTGGATGGATGGGGCTGTGCATACCCACGTATTGTGCAGCGATCTTGATTAAACAAACAAATTCTTTATGTGAAATTGGTAAATTTCCCGCTTAGTTTTTTACAGGCTTCAAAAACCTTCCTGGTGAAATTGGTAAATTTCCCGCTTAGTTTTTTTACAGGCTCCAAAAACCTCCCTGAAATTTGTACAGTTAAATAGTACGTGTGTTTGTAACTTCTTGAATTAAACCTTATCCTGTGGTGAGGGCTTTTCGTGGAGGCCTGTCAAACTCGTGACATCTCTGCCTGAATTTCAGGATAGTTTGGATGTAACTTTTCTTTTTAAACGGAGGGAAGGAAAAAACCTGACATATCGTGTTTATTGGCTTTTGGAAGCCACTAGCCAGTTTTAGTATGGATTTTCTCAAATGCTGCTTACAAAACAAACCCTTTTCTGTTGTGGGTTCTGCCTTCCATATCGACAGAATAGAAATTGTAATAGAGACAGGCAGAAAATCCCATATTTTTCCCACTTTCCCGTCATGTTTGTGTGTGAGGTGCCCTGCAGAACCTTCACAATTTGTTCTTCCCCAGCATATATTTATATATTTAGGATTTTTCTTTGCATTGAGGCTGTGGAGCTGCTCAGACCTGCAGAGGATGGGGTAAACATGTCATCGCAGCGCTGGGGCTGGGAAAAGGCAATAATAGCTTTTCATTTCTGATATTTGTGTATAAGCTTGAACAGAGGGAGAACCCCAAAGGTTTGTGTTTTGTGCAGATAACATTAAAACGGTAAAGAAAACAGCCCTGAGCCTCCATGGCTTTTCAGAAGCTCCGAGCTAGAAATCTGTCCTTATTTCACACTGGTGCTGCACAAAATGGAGCATCTGTCACGATTACACGTCTGGTGTGTGAGAATTTTAATTTTGAGACATAGCTAAGAGGCTTCTGTAGCAAGAGAAGGTGGTGTGGGAAGCCTCCTGTGGAGTTAAATCAGGCCATTGCTCTTCCCTTCGCTACATCTTTCCTCCTCCTGCTCCTAGAAGGTGCCCTCAAAGATGTTCTGTGCACTTGATGGTGCCTCTCCTTGTGAGCAGAGGGGCCTCACAGGACACTCCTTTGGAGGGAGCCCTTATCTCCAACTGGGCTGTTGCTTCCTAATCCTTTCCTGCTTCTATAGTGATGAGACAACCTGATTTGGAAACTCTTCTGCATGATCACATTGGGTTATTGGGTTGGGTTCTTGCCCAAACACTGATCGTTACTTTTGTAAGAGTCAGTTCCTGATGGGATCTGTACCCAGTTGCTTCTAATGGTGTAGGAAGCTTTGGGCAGGCTCATCAAAGCTCTCAGTATCTCTAAGTTTGGAGTGATGCCATGTATGAGAAGTTTGGGCAGTGCATGTACAGCATTGTGACGGGTCATGCACTGGGTTCTCATCACTGACCCCTGACCAGATGGAAGGTTGGGAATGGAGATGGGTCCATGGATCTGGAGCATCGCTTGGGCATTCACTGTCACTTTTCATGCTCTGTGGTGACTTCCCTTGAGGAGATGTTGGTGCTGTGTAATTCCATTCCAGGATGTATTGCTGGTTTAACCACATGCCTGTCATTTGGAGTTGTATCAAGGTGCTTTGGCCCAACATTCAAGCTGTATTCCCTGTACCTGCCCGTCTTCTGGAGACAGAAACCTTTACCAATAGTCCTTGCACCTCAAAATATGCCTTAGTGTCATCCATCCTTCCTCTGTGTGCTCCATTAAGAAAAAACTCATTGTTTGTTACCAAGATTTGGCTCGTGATGATTTTTTTTCTGAGTAGACAATGTGTGTACACATTTCTAAATGAGCTGCTTTCTTATTCCAGCATCAGCTTTTCTAAGGGTTTAAACAATAGCCCTCTGAGCCCCCCGTTTGCTGAAGTGCAGCTACAGCTGATAGGTCTGAGATTTTCGTGCTGCATGTGGAGAGGGGCATTTTTTTTCTGTCAACAAAGAATAAATATCCTACAGCTAAATGAAATGAGAAAACAAATTAACCCAAACTGTTTTGAAATGGCACTTTGACGGAACAGGGGAAAAAAATAAAAGGCAAAAGCAAATCTTCGTTTGCAGTGGTTATTTGGTTGGGTATCTTTGCATTTATTAAAGCAGATATGTAGGCTCCTGACATTTGCCATGTTGTATCTGAAGGCCACAGAGCCTGGTAACATTAATCTTGGAGAACTCCTTCATCACGTCTCATGGGACCTATGGGTCTGGTCCATGCTGGTCCCAGTCTGGACTTGGCTGGGGCTTGTGATGGGCTGCCCCAAGTGCTTCTTCCCTTGGGGAGGGAAAATTTAGATGAGATGTGGGGAAGAAGTTCTTTGCTGTGAGGGTGGTGAGAGCCTGGCCCAGGTTGCCCAGAGAAGCTGTGGCTGCCCCATCCCTGGAGGGGTTCAAGGGCAGGTTGGAGGGGGCTTGGAGCAACCTGGTGTGGTGGGAGGTGTCCCTGCCCAGGGCAGGGGGTGGCACTGGGTGGACTTTGAGGTCCCTGCCAACCCAAACCATTTCAAGATTCTAAGTCTAGGCCTGGTTTCACCAAATGGTTTGGAAGGCGTTACTGTTGGTTTGCTGGAAGCCCTGTGTCCGACACCTCTGCAGACTGCGTCGGGCCTGGGGCCTCACCAGGTGCTGCTTTAGGTCTTGACAGTCAATTGTTCTTCAGCCTTTTTTAAACACACAGTTATTTCTTTATCCTCTCCCTCCCTCCCTCCTCCAGTCAGAAAAGATACTTTTGGAATCGTGTTCCTGAATTGCCTGGTTATATATAGGCGAGAAAACAAGAGATGAACATTTTCTGAAATGTTAGAACATTTATGAAGGCTTTTCTGTTTTTCCAAGAGCAAGGGGTGATGTGGATCCGTACCTGTTGCTGGTGCTGCTCTGGAAACAGACGGATTCCTGCTGCCCACTTGATCTGAGGGCAGGTTGCATAAAGGGATGGGAATGAATAACTCCTCGTTGTCTTGTGGTGAAGGAATCGCTGCTGCGGAACATATGGGCTTAGCTTTGTCTTGTACCATGTTTGTTAGAAGTTTATATTTGGACAGAAGGCACCTCTCCGTGTATAAATACATTGTTGTGCTGAAACATTCCTTCTGATTGCCAAGTACCCAACGCCGCTGTGAAATGACCATCTAAACATCACACATTTGATTTGTTTATACCCACAAGATTCAATTCCTCCTTTCATGTTTGCATCAAAATAGTACTTAGTCTATAGATTTGTATTAGAGGTTGATTTCAGAAATAAGTGGTTTTGCACTATAAATCTTCCATTGCATGATAATCCTGCAGCTGTAACTCAGCTCCACGTCAAGTTGCTTCTGAAGCTGTAGTGCCCTTTGTTTTACGGTGTCAGGTACCATAACATTTCAGCAGAGGAGATGTTTGGGTGGGCTTTTGTCAGGCTGGATTGGCAGATGCTCATTCAAACCTGATGTCGTTTGGAAATTTCCCCTCTGAAGAAGACAAAGACTTGTTTCTGCACCTTTGTTTTCAGCAGGATGTGTTTGATATCGCTTCAGTTCGTGCTGAGGTGAAAGATCTGGACTGTTGCTTGCTCTTCTATATTCTTCAAGTTCTGCCTGGTTTATTCTTTTACAGTGTTTCTGCTGTTTTTCTCCGTAAATCTGACATAGACAATT